CTATACATTATTTGTTTTCTGTAAAGATTTAATAAACAGTACGCACTTGTTTGACTACGGAAAAAAAAAAAAAAAAATTAAAAAATTTTAAATAAAAAAAAAATCATTAAATATAATAATAAAATTTGTTCAAATTTAATCAAATTTAATTACATATAGAATTTATTATAAGAAACAAGTTTACTTAATATATAAAAGTTGTTTTTATTAATAAAATAAAAATTTTAATAGACCTGTGAATTTATAGTATAGTAATTAATACTTCACAGGTCAAATCACAAGATACCAGTTCAACTTTATGTGAGGGCAATTGAATAGAATTAATATGATATCTGGCACCATAACATATTAAAAGTGCTGTTTCTCATAAGAAGCCATTTCACATGCTGATCCAGTGGGCATTGAGATTATGATTTCTAGAAAAGGTGTCGTGGCACGACGATTATCCGGTTGGTGTTACGATGATTGCTGGAAGTTGCAAGGTATATAAAATGTCTGTTTTCAACAAATAGGTTTGGTGATCCTTTCCCTAATATCTGGCATTTTTTACATAGATCCTTGTCTTAGTCATATTCCAATCCAGTAATAAACTGGTCTGGTGGTACTTATTCCAAGAAGGCTTTTGGCTATAATATAAGTTTTGTTTCCTGCAATGTGTAAGTTAGTGTTCAGGTGGTAAGCACCAATTATAAGTACCTTAAACGTTCTTGGGTATTATTGAACAGGTAAGAAATTAAATGGTTAGCCCAGCTGCAGGTAGTGATAAAGGAATTTATTCCTGATGAAGCAAGCAGTGATTATATAGCTTTATTTATCATAAATATTACTCCTAGTGCCCCCTTTCAACTTCCCCTTAATCTTCCCCAGTTAGAAGTAAAGCTGTTTGATTACTAGTGAAAATGCACACTACTGGTTTAACAAAGAAGTACCTTTGTTCAGTAGATTAGCCTCTATATCTAATATAGTTAGAAACAAATTACAGCAAATGTCATTATTTGGAGCAATCCTGATAAGTGTTGGGTATAACTAACAACTGATATGTTAAAGCATAGTCCTAGATAGTAATGTTTAAAGATATATATAAATATCATTATGAGGAATAAATATCCAGCCAGATAATTATCACTGGTATACTTTAAAAAAAAAAAAGAAAGAAAAATTTTTAATATATAACAACTATTTCTGTTTAATTATAATAATTCTTAAATAGTTTTTTATTTATTATATATCTAATATGTATATTAATTTTTTTTTTTTTTTTTTTTAATCCCACAATCAGGTTGATGTCGTTTATTTATTAAATCACAAAGAACCATTATACATACGAGAATATATGCAAAGTACAAATTTCTCCGACCCAACTTATCCGCTTTAGCTGAAGCCTCTAGATGCAATTTATGGAGGTGATGTATTGTTTCCCTAAAGAATGGAATTAAGATCCCAAATTTCCGATAGGATCAGCACCTGCAAATCACCTCTACAGTCATGACCATAAATCCAAATTGTATCACCCTCTCTTGTAAAAATTACACAAGGGGAAAAAGGAATAAAAAAGAAATTTTTAACAAAGAGAAAAGAAAAAAAAAGCTATTATCTATTTTAACTATCATTGAAAAGATTATCTCAATGAATTTAAAACCCAAGCCTTTCATGGATTTCCACTTCTTACCATTTGTGACCAGTTAGATTATTTAATTTTCAATAGAGTAGTCATGTTCAAGAATGTTTAAGGGCACTTCCAGGAAAGTATTTCTTGAAACTTTACACTTGAAAACTTCTAATCAGAAAGAATGTTAGTTTTCTATTGTTGATTTCTCTCCCAAGCTATGTCTTTTGGAATTATAGCTTTACTCAATCAGTAAATAGTTTCAAGATTCTTTTCTCCAACCATTTCCGGGATAGATATCGGTACTTCAACTTATTACCAGATTGGGATAGAACCTAGACCTTGTTGCTATTTCCTGTTCTCAAGAAAGAATAGGGAAGAAAAAAAGAAAATAAAAGGATAGGAACAAAAAAAGGTCACTCTTCTTCTTCTTACAATTTCAACTTGAAACTATTCAACTCTTTTAGGAACCAATTATATCATTGGTTTGATGTTGCACAACTGGGAACACGTGAGGAGTACATGTCTTATTTACTTTTTCTGTGACTGACGTGATCAACCAATCTGTGATCTTGACCAATCATCTTTCAGGAAATCCAGTGTGACCAAAAAATTCAGGGTCAAACTAATCTAATATGTATATTAATATTGTTTTAAATATTGTTTTTTATTTAGTTAAATATTTATTATATAGGCACTCTAATATTAAACTTATTGCTAATATAGATAAAAGATGTTTCTTTTATGATATATACCTTGTTATATATTTATCTATGGAAAAAAAATTTTTTCACTTAATACTTATTTTACATTAAAAAAAAATTCCATATTTATAAAAATAAATAAAAATCATGTGATTTTAAATTCGAATCAGATCTTTATTTTTTACGAATTATGATCAAAACGTTGTTCGTTACTGTTGGGTCGACTGGCTTTGACAAGTTAATTAGCCTTGTAACATCATCACTTTTTCTCAAAGCATTATATTCCAAGGGGTATAAAAGATTAAAAATTCAATGCGGTACGAGTATTAAGATCTATAATGAGGCGATCCAATGTATACAAGATATTGAAATGGAGATCGTTGGTTATGATTTTAAGTCTTCGTTAAAACAAGATATGATCGATTCAGATTTAATTATAAGTCACGCAGGTTGATAAAGGTTCTAGGTATTTCGATATTTTTCTATTAGAAATTTTATTAAGTTCTCAAAAATCTAGGTTCGGGTTCTATCCTTGAATCCCTACGTTTACAAAAACCATTAATCGTTGTGATAAATGAGACCTTGATGAATAACCATCAAGTCGAACTTGCTATTGAAATGCAAAACAAAGGATATCTTGTTTGCGGTTCCATAAGGTATAAACAAATTTGGTGAACAATAAATATAAATTTTTCTTTCACAATATTGATTTATTTATTCTACTATCAACTTTAAGCAATCTTCTAGAAATTTTTAGATCAGATGCATTCAATAGTTTAACTCCTTTCCCAGAACCTGATGAAACGATTTTTGCAGACATTTTGAATGAAGAGATGATGTTATAATTGTATGGTTAATATTTGAGGAAACAAGCTTATTTTATTTATCAATGTGAATTAAATTGAACAATTATTAAATTATGAAAATTGCGCGAATTAGAATGTAATGCTTTACTGGCGCCGGTAAAGACATTTTTTTATTATGGTGCATAGAAACTATGCACACTGAAGTTAAAACTATAATTACTCTACTAGTAAAGTTACTTTTGGGTTGTATGCAAGACGTAAGAGAAAAAAAAAAAAATGCTAATTGTTGTGTTAAAGGAAGGAGATGATCATAACAAATCTTCGAAGATCGATCGACAACGAAGAGGAACGAATGATCGACGCCCCCCAAAAAAGAAACGAATCTCGAATTAAAATGCGAAATTATGAGTCTATCTATATAAGGAAAATGCCTTCAATCGTAATCTATATATACTGTATATAAAAAAAACAAGAAAAACGTAAAATTCTAAGTTTTGTTATAAAATAATGTTGCACTAGAGTAGGTGAGAACAAAATAAATAAAAATTGATTCTACACCCATTAGTCATAACGGAAGCTAAAATTATATTGTCGTTCCGTTCGACTTCATATAAGATATTCATATTTTGCGCTTATAGAGATCGGAACTCCCTCATAAATCTAAATTCTTCTACCATATTAAACATATTTTTTTAGATATAATATTTTTTTTCTTTTGGTTTGTTTTTTGGTTTGGTTTGTTTTT